CGGCAGGGCTGAGCCGTGCCCGGTGCCGGTGCCCAGGTCTGGTTCCAGAACAGACGGACGAAGTGGCGGAAGCGGCACGCGGCAGAGATGGCCTCGGCGAAGAAGAAGCACGACTCGGAGACGGAGAAGCTGAAGGAGAGCTCGGACAATGAGGACGATGATGAATACAACAAGCCCCTGGACCCCAACTCAGACGACGAAAAAATCACGAGGCTATTGAAAAAGCACAAATCCACAAACCTGTCCCTCGTCAGCCCCTGCAGCACCAGCTCGGACACCTTGTGAGAGCATGGGCACCGATGGCCGCTCTGGGCGAGCTGCCGTGGTGGGCACTGCGGCCGAGGTGAATTGTAACTGGATGTTTAAAGTGGTGTGTTGTACAGCCTAAGATGTATGTGAAATGTATATATTTTTTACAGAATAAGTTATGAAATTATTTTCCTTCTCATCGATGTAAATTTCAGAGGAATTTTTCCAACTTTTTGGTTTTTGTTTTGTGTCCCGTTAAGCTTTGCCCCTTTTTCTTTTAGCCTTCTTGCCGATTTCCTGCTCCTAACAATCAGATTTTGTTACGTTTTGTATGGGTCGCCAAATCCAAGCTCAGCCACTTTGTATATAGTAAATTTCAGATTTTGTGATGTATATTTCTAGTGCAAAACCTGGATGTTTTCTTTCACTCTCTCCCTCTACTCGGTGTTTTGGCGGTTTGATTTCTCCTGCCTCTGGATTTTATGCTTAATAATACCAAAAGAGAAAACAACCCCAAAAAGCACGAGAGAAAAATGGACACTTGATTTTACATTGGGATCAAATAATGTCTCCACACGGGTTGGAAAGACTTTGTATAAATCAATAAATTATTTAACAAGCTTCTCCTTTAGTCAGTTTCTGCCTGCCTCCCTCAACTTTGGTCCCCGGCCGGGCTAGGGCTGCCGAGCTGGGGGAGGTCTCGCCCCTGCTCCGCGGCGTTTGGCCGGGACAGATGGGGCGGAGGGCACGGGGTTCACCAGACAAGAGGCCGGCTCATTTTGGGCTTTCGCCTCACGAATCCGGGGCCCTGGTTTTTAGGGCCGCTCTCGCCGAGGACGCTCGCCCTGCTCCTGCCCTCAACTCGCCCC